ACATCGATGTCTTGTCTTCTGATAACAACATGTGTTTCAAATCGACACCGAATTCGTGTAGTATTTGATGGCATTCTTCCACTTTATCGGCGAATATCTTGATTGGCATCAAAGCTGCAGCCATTGCAGGCCATTGTCCGCCCAAACCCGGGAACAGTAGCCATAGAGGGCGAGCACTCTTGCCTTTCATTACTCCTATTTGTCTCTTGTATTCGTATTTTATTTCATTGTTTTCTTTCAAAACTTTCTTTATTATAAGTGAACCTAAAATGCGAATACTTTTTAATTTAAATTATTTACTCTACAGTCAAACCTCTGAACGGCATTCCCGATGAGTTAACATTAGGCGTGTATTTCATAGTCTGTGCCAAAAGTGCCAAAAAGTCATTCGTCACTCTCTTTGGGTTGTTTTGTATGAAATCCATCACATATTTGACCGCATCTTCAGTTCGGCCGCAAATGTTTACAATTCTGGGAATCGTTTCCGCGATTAGAAAGCTATCACTCGTTCCCAACTTATGGTTCGGTTCGAGCAATACGTGTGCGTTCGCACCGCCGATACCAAAGTTGTTCACCGCAGCCAACCCTTGAATAACATAAATTAATCAATAAAATTAGATAACTTAATTAAATTTACCTGGTTTATAGGGTGTGGGCGTTACTACAGGTACTAATGGCGGACAATAAGGAACGCACTCATCCTTCAGTTGTTTCATATTAAGGTTGGGAGGAATGCATTCATTCTCGTAGACAATACACACTTTAATGAGTGCGGCCACCCCTGAACCGGCCTCCGTGTGCCCGATATTACTCTTCAACGCTCCCAACAGCAAGGGTTGAGTCCGTCCCGGAGCCTTCACATAGGCGTTATAGATAGCTTTGATCTCTTGCGGATCGCCCGCCTATTTATAACACAATTTTTTATAAAACCATTGATTACATAATGAAAGAAATTGGTATTTTAATATAATAAAATAATGTAATAGTTATTATTAATTAATAGTTATTTAGCAGTTAACATTGTTTAACAGCATTTAATTGCATTAAATTATTTGTAACTAAATCTAACCAATAATCAAATATAAAAAATAATAACTACAGTAGTTTACTATTAGTGTACTGTAGATAAAAATAACATACCTTAGTGCCGGTACAGTGAGCCTCGAAGTACGTTAAGTCTAACGGATGGACACCGGCCTCCGTATAGGCCTCCACCATAAGGGCTTCCTGAGCGACAGCCGACGGGAAATACATGCCAGTGGTCTTATTGCCGTCCATATTCATACGGGCCGACCGTACGGTGGCGTACACTCGCCGCGCGTTCGCCCTGAGCTGTAGGAAAGCACAGCACACGGCCTCACCCTTAATGAATCCGTCCGCCTCCTGGTCCAACACCGCCGACACCCCCCGCGGCGAACACACCCCCAACTCCTGCTGAAACTGCAATACGTACGGCTCGAATGTCATGTGAGTGCCGGCGACCACAGCGTTGTCGATATGACCTAAACGTATATAAACATAAATAATAGGTTTTGTGTACAGTTTTGCAATAAAGGTAAAATGCATTGACTCAATGTTATTGAGTATATTTATGTGATGTGGGCTGCACAGTATGGCTCAAAATAGTATTTTAGATATGCGTTAAAAATCAACTACAAAATCCAAATCTAAATATCTTGACATTTTTTTCTCAATCAATATCACAAATCGCATTATTTTACAGTTTGTTTTACAGATAATCTATATCTTGATTAAACTAGATAGACGCAAGTTATAATAGATAAAAACACTATGCAGCACAAATGCAATTGACTTGTTGTTACATTAATAAAACATGTGTGAATACAAACCGAGTCTCATGTCATTGACGGCCAAAGCCATGGCACTACCGCTGGCCGAACAGGCGGTGTCCACAATGAGTGACGGACCCGAAAAGTCAAACACATAGGATATACGGCTGGCGTAGAAGCTCTTCATATTACCGATCACTTGTAACATCACTTCCTGAAGACTCTTGCGCTGATCGGGCTGTATATCGGCCGGATAGCCGTCCGACTTGGAGTAGATGGACACTCCCACGTACACACCTGTCCTACTCCCACGCAGCTCCAATGGGTTCACACCTAATGCAAACATTATCATGTATTAACATTAGTTGTATATTATTCATATATTAATGTTGTGTGTTTTACCAGAATCGATGATGGCTTCGTAGACCACCTCCAAAAGCATGCGAGCCTGTGGGTCCACCTCTTTCATCATCTGCTCCGGGAGTAGACTGACCAGACGGGTTTGGCTAAATTCTGGATTTTCATTAAAATTCCCGTAATATTCCGGGACAAATTCTGGACAAAAAGTGGTCGAAACCTTGACTAATTCTGGACAGGTTTCCAAGCAATAATAAAATATTTTATTCATGTTTTTAAGACGATTTTAGTTTATTTGTGCCTGTACATTTTATATTTCTACATTACGTTATTTGATTTAAGATATTTAACAATTACAAATTTAACAAAAAACACGATAAACTTAATCACAATTTAAACTATATGCTAAAACTAGACTATTATGTGTGATGTTTTGCATTGAAAATATTTAAATTCTTTGCTATCATTCACATGTGAAAAACTTTATGTATAACTTATGTTTATTAAATAATATATCCAATCAGGTAATTATATTTAAAAATATTGTACTCAATTCGTATAATTGATAGTATTGGAAATTGGTAATATATCGATAAACTTCCATTAACAAATATATTTTCCAACAGAGCACTTTATATGCAAAAGAATTTTATATTGATTATTTTAAAGTGTAATTGTATATGTATTGTACAAGTATTTGGGTAGTCCGTAATAAACAATTACCTTCAATAAAAGCACTGCTAACAAATACTGTATGGAGTTTAGAAAACATTTATAGTAAAAATTTTCATTTGATCATTCCTGGACACTATAATGTCAGGGTTTACCCCCGCCCTGGACACTGGACATGGACTTTCATTCCGGGACAATCCAGGCCATTTCTGGACATCTGGTCAGTCTATCCGGGAGGCCAAAAAAGGTTACGTCGAATCGGTTGAACTCGATGATTTTGCCCATACGTGGGTTCATATCATACAAGTCTGCATTGTAAATATATTTGTACATTGATTGTAGGTGAGTTTATGCAAAGTAACAGCGCTTGGTTCAATTGTAATTACCAATAGGCCATCGGGTGTCGTCACCGGTAACCATATCGACGCCTTCGTACAGATTCTTCGCCAACTCGTCGGTGTTGTCCGACAGCGGGAACCGACCGGACATTCCGCTGATTACTATGTCGTTTGCAGACATACTATCGAAATTGTTTTGTGTATTAATTACAAAGATTAGTACAGTTAGTACAGCAAAATTTATATGTTATATTGTTGATTTATTAAAAGCAATTTGATATTTAAAATATTTTCCGGCTATTTATATACCTTAAAGCATTTGGCATTATTCAGTAATAATGAATGTATTTTTTTGTCCTGATTGGGATTTTGTTTAATAAATAAAATAATAAGACTTTTATTATATAAATTATAATGAGCCGCGACTAATATTTAATATAATAAATTTATATTTTTCTGACAATTTGCGTAAATAAATGGGAAATATTTGAACAATAAAATCTGAATTACGTAGACCAGTTTTGTAGAATAAGTTATATTTAATAAACTCCCTAATTCTTGCGAAGTGTTAGTTAAAAATAGAGTAAATGTGATTGATAAGTTGAAGTTAATTAAAAATTTATTTGTTTTTTAAATGTAATAAATTTTGTGCAATTTTAGCAAATATTCTAAATTTAAATTTTAGACTTTTATTTTATATGATGAGCAAGCAGCAATTAATTTGTTATAAATGGTATGTAATTTTATTTGTTAAAATTTGTTTTTGAATGTTATAATTTATAACTTATAAATGATATTTGATGCTATTTTCTTTTATAAATATTAATTAAAAAATAATTATAAACTAAATTTAAAAATTAAATTAATAAATTATTTAATTGGTTCAATAATTGTTACCCTGCTACGTTAATGTTGTGAAATATATTTTATTAAAGCAATTAAAAGAAATTGAATAAATTACTGTTTAATTTAATAAATAAAACTATAAATCATTTAATGTCATTATTAAAATTTTAATTTACTATTTTATTATTTAATTTTGAATTTTCATTAAATATAGAATTTCAAATATAATACTACAATAAGGTAGAAAGACAATTTATAATTAAAATGATAAGATATTAATGATTAGAATGGCAAATTATTAATAATTAAGTTTAGCTATACTGTATTGAATATTAAAGATGTGATTGCTAACATACGTTCATCATTTGTTTTATTAATTATTAATTTAATTTATAAATTAAAAGTAATATTGCATGATTAAATATAAAAGAAATTTTATTTTTTATTAATAACTTATTAATAATAAGCTTTCATATCACATATTAAAATGAGAGATACATTGTAAATTATATTGTATATTTATAAAGTTATTTTTACATAAATTTTTCATCATAAAACAATTAACTTGAAAATTTTATAATTGTAATTTTTTTGTTGACTTTTTTGTATTGCATAACTAATAATTCTAATCGCATTTCTTTTGGTAAATATAATAATAGTAATAATAATAGTTAATAACTAAAATATATTAACTATTTTTATTAATGAAACTCTTATATAAACAGCAAATAACAAACAAATATTAATTTGTTATTCACATGAGTATTGCGTTTACAATCAAACCATAACCGATGGCATATCTAATAGGCTTTACGGCCACCGCCGCCGCCACTACTGCCTCCATATCCACCACCTCCTCGTCCGCCACCACTGATAGCAATACCAGATCCGCCGCCGCCATAACCTCCACCGCCGCCACCCTTTCCACCGCCAAATCCTCCGCCGCCGAAACCGCCGCCACCAAAGCCTCCGCCACCGCCGCCGCCAACGCCAACACCACCGCCCGTACCCCTGGCGACGATGGTCTGGATGTCCTCCTGGACCGGATTGATCTCCTGAACGATACGTCTGTAGGGAGTGATCACTTCGCGCACCTCTTGGATGATGGGTTTGGACACCTCGTGGATGAGTCTATGGGGTTCGTCCTCGGACTGGCTTTGTTGAGTGCCTCCACCGCCGCCTTCGTGGGCCTGTTGTACGTTAATGTTGGACGACGACGACCTGAACAGTATGTTCAACGGCACGGCCGACGAGCCCACCTCAATGGTGGTCGGGTTCACCTGTCCCTGCGATGGCACGTCTCTGAAGTCGATGTTGTGTCGCGAGATAATGGCCGCTTGCACTACACCGCCGCCGCCTCCGCCGCCACCACCGCCTCCACCAAAGCCTCCGCCTCCAAACCCGCCGCCACCACCAAAACTACCT